ATTAATGCGTCTTCTTCTCTTATTTGTATGTGCTTAAATTATCTCAGTCTTTGTGGATTATTAAATTTTACTATCTCTTCCCCTTTCTATCTCTTATTTCATGCTTCATTAGTCTTCTATATTCTCCGTGTTCAGTCCTTATTAGGCTGTTTATTCTTATAATTTTGCTTTTAATAATTCTTACTTTTTCTTTATCCTTTTTCGTAAGACATATTACTTTCGCTCCGTATGCTATCACTGGTCTAATTCCTGCTCTATATATTTTTGTCTTTGTTTTTTTGCTATCTTTAAGTAGTGGGTGATATTTCCAAATTACAACGTTCTTCTCTTGCCTTGTGTGCATGGTAGTGTCATGCGTTAGATGTATGATTTGGGGTGGTTGATACGTATTTAGTTATCACGGTTATATTAAAATTAGTTCTTCAGTTTCCATATTCGACCACTTTATAAAGCCAAATGTGATAAGTGGTATTGCGTATGTGTTTATTGCTTTTACTATGTGCTTTTAATTAAGTTTGCTTTGGAGTATTATTATTATTATTATTCAGATTTAGCCATACGGCTCACACTCCCTCTAAGGGGAAAATTCACTCATCCCAAATACCTACGATATCAAAAGGATTGAGCTCTGGTGGGACTCTTTCCATGTTATCGAGTCCTAGGTGACTTGGTATGTCGGTGTATCTCCTAAAAATTTTCGCACGCATCTGGACGTCGAAAGTAGCACAGCTTTCTGCATGACCTTATATAGATGTTCATTTAGACCCAGCTTTTTTATGTTTTCTAGGAGGTTCTTCGGAATGACTCCAGTGGTAGAAAGAATAATAGGTATCGTCTGGGTACTTTCCATTCTCCATTGTCTTCTTATTTGTATTTCCAGATCTCTGTACTTGGCGATATTTTATTAACTAGCACGAGATCTGGTCTATTATGTGCTACAGTTTGGTCTGTGAGCACAGTGCGATCCCAGTATAGCTTGTAGTTGTCATTCTCTGTAGTTTGCTGGATCATATTGCGAGTGTCTTGAAGTGCTTAGCATTATTTGATCAGCTCTTTTAATGACTTTTCTACTTGTTGTTCCTCGTATATAATCTGTCATTTGACCAATGTCCCTACGCAATAATTCATTCTTGTTTAGGAGCCGTTTCTCCCAGGGTGCAACTCTGTTATCAGTCCTTCCGGCATTAGTACCTCGTCGTGTTATGATCCTAATTCCCATTACATTAGCTGTTGCTGTTGCTGCACAGTAAATAAGCATATGCAAATATTCCAGCGTATGAGCTTGTACGAAGTAATTGGTAGGACTTCAGTATTTATAATTCGTAACAGAGCACCTAGTTTTTTAGAAGAGTTTATTTGTGGTAGCGGTGGTCTGCTTTTTAAAAACATATGCTTACACGAGAAATTATGAAGAAAATTCAAGGAAGAGTCAGAAAAATTATTTCTGTATAAGGCTGTAAATACTGGCCGTCAATGAAATCAGTTTTTGTCTAAAATTTTGCAGACCAACGTAACGAATACTCATTAACTGGAGATTTAGTCAATCTTCGTCGAGCCCCAGACAAAAATCCTCATCAATTTCATGAATAAGTCATGAGTTTTTTAAATACTATTTCAAATCACATTGAATTGAACACATAACATAAGAAAGTTAAAAGAAATAAAAAAAATTTTTTCCAACAAACTCTAACCATATTTTTGGCAGGTCTAATAGAACCCCTAGGATCAACAATTCCATCCATGAGACCACCGAATCTTGCTCTTGCTATCCGGTATATTCAGAAAAAAAAATAATATTAGATATCTCCAAAAATCTCATAATTATTCCTTATCATCTTCTAACAAACCATCTGCTACTTCACAAACGACACATACACCCGCTCCTACACGATGGCAGCCTGAGGTACCCAAGCCCCAATGGACACAGCCATTCTTTAGGCCAAATCAAATGCCTTTGCAACAACAGCCATTCAACAATAGTCCAAGAGGGACATTTCAAGATTCCCCCTAGATTCCAACAAAAACAACAAATCACTCAATACGCACAAAATTATACAACCAACCCAATTTTCATAAACCATATCCATCTCAATCATATAAGCCAATACCTATTAGCGTATTTAGACGCCAAACCGGCAATAGACCCCAATCTCAAAGAAACTTCCGCTTTCAAAAGACAGCCAGGCCCCGATTCACGGTAGAAGAGCTCTTTAATATCGAACAACAAGAGCAATTATGACGAAGGTATATAGACACATACCCAGATTACTCTTACTATGAACAAAAAATTCAAAAATATGAGGACAAAGATGTAAATTTTCAAAGATTTCAAAAATAAAAAGAAGAACAAAGTGGAATTGCATTCCTTTGCTGACAAAAGAGAGTTTCATTACATTAAAATTCAAAATCTCCCTCTTAAACTTCTTATTGTTACAAGAGCCACTAAATCTTTTCTTAATCCTGACATAACAAATAAATTCCCCAAAAATAATATTAAATATGAACCAGTTGCTACATCAATTTTTTTGAATCATTCAGAAGGTTATTGTGTAGAAATTCCAATTTTTTCCGAATTTAACTCAAATATTAACTTAAAATTTTATATTTGCAAAGCTTACAAGACATTTGATGGTCTTAATCTTAAGGCTTCTTAAAGCAAATCTCGATTCTACCCAAGCTACTCTTACTACAACGCATTCTATTCTTCCTATTAATTACTATGCCACAAATAAAGCCCAATTCCATATAGTCCACCAAGAGCCCTAAAAAATTATACAAGTCAAATTTACAGTAAAAGAAACATCAGGTAAAATCGTCATCCAAAAACAAGAAGTCGAAGGTGCCATCCTAAGAGAAATTCTCACCGTCGCATATAATCAACTTGCCTGGACCGAGCTAGTCAATAACACCGATGAATATATTCAAGTAGCAATAACGGATCCCATCAAAAGTCAACCAATAAATCTAAGAGATGTCGATCCTTTCCTAAGAACCGATCATTTTAATACAATAGAAGAATATTACCGAAAACGACAGTGCAGGAAGTTTGCATCATGCATATTTCATTATTCAGACGTCAGTTAACATTTACTAATCAAATAAAACATCATATACGAACAAGAGATGAAGTTCCGGTTTACACCAAGTCAAATCGGTATCCACACATCCATAAGGATGATTGATCAAGAAATCATCAAACTGAGACAATTGCCCTGGTCGTCCCCAATGTGGGTCATTCCAAAGCAACCAGATGCCCAAGAAAAATTAAATGGAGAATAGTTGTCGACTACAGGAAGGTGAACAAGAAAACCATCGACGGTCTATACCCAATTCCAAATATAACAGACATTCTGGACAAACTAGGTCGCTGCAAATATTTTTCCACCCAGTTGTAGCCAGCGGATTACATCAAATTAAAATGAAGGAAGAAGATATTTGGAAGACTGCATAACTTAAGGGAACTTAACTGGAAGACTTAACGTTGAAAATGGCCACTATGAATGCCTGAGAATGCCATTCGGACTCAAAAATGCACCCTCAACATTTTAGAGAGTAGGTAATGGAGAACATACTAAAAAGACTTACAGGCGAAATATATCTAGTCTACAGGGACATTTTCAACCTCACTTTAAGAACATATGGTAAATCTTAAGAAGATTTTTGAAAAATTAAGAGAAACAAGATTTAAAATACAAGTTGACAAATGTGAATTACTTAAGAATAACTAATGCGTTAAAAATTATCACTAATACGTTATGCAAGACTATTGTTTATAAATACTAAAATAATTAATAGATATATTACTTGTAGATGGTATAGTACAGTATCTACTATTCTGTAAGTTCTAGCATGCCAAATAAAATTCATTCAAACCGATAACATTCTTATTAAATCTTGTTGTAATTTGTCAAAGTGTTGTACAAATAATTGATATGGCAACCCTGCTAGTATGACGATTCGCTTGAAGCGTTTCGAGGCCGAAAGTAATGCAATCTATCGATGATAAATACTACCAACGTTTGAGATGGAGCCACCTCTCTAGTATACAATTTGATGCCGGCAATTCAAGATATAATTATTGTTTAACGAAATTTTTCATATGTTTAGGAAAAAATATTCAACGTTTTATTGCAAATATATTTCACTTTTACAGTTTTATATATGTTGTTATTAAAATTTTTTCCGGTTTCTTACCGGTAGCTTTATTATAAGCCGGAACATAACATTTTTTCCCGTAGTGACAAAACTGTAAATTCAAAAATTTTCAAAAAATTCATAAGTATTTCTTAGGGTTATATCTTTATGCTGTAAAAAAAATTATCAAAATTGTATGTCTGGTTTTCCCGCTTTATACTTGGAAAAAAGTAGTTTTTTAGAGTTTTTTCGAAAACGAAAACATGAAGTTTGTTCAAACTTTGTCAAAATACTTTTAATTGTCACATATACCTTCTCAATTTTTTTCAAATTTTTTGAATTTGTAGTTTATTTTTTGGGGGGTGCAGATCAACCTTAAGATGAAAAGCAGAGGTACTGATTTCTTGAAATCAGCACCACCTGATCTTCGGCATTTTTTCTTTCTTATTGTATTATATGCATGTATAATTTTATATATTTTGTGTATTGTATGAATTTGAAAGAAAAATAAAGACCTTTATTATTATTATTATTATATACAGGTTATATCGATAACTTTGATACACGGCAAAATATATATGTTTTATTAAAAATAAAAAAAAACGTGTTTGTTTGGCACACACCCAATAAAACAAAGAATTTTAATGTTAAATATAAAGCAATAATATACGAAATTTTTTGTACCGTTTTAAATTTTTTATTCCCATCCTTTCACCCAACCGCAATCAGTACGTAATCGTTAAGGAAATATCAAATTCCCTTTCAAGACCCTCGAACACCGAACCTGTCCCTCATCCTTCATGGCTGCAATGCACGGCCCTTGAAAATTTGGAATTAATAATGTACGAATTAATAATTTTTTGCAGATTCCGACTACCAGTTGGGTTCGGCCTTGCAAACTCCGGGTCTGAATAATTCAGGGATTGCTCCCACCGAATACGAGACGACAACCGGGAACGGAGCTACAGGAACGCCGGTGGGGGTAGTAAACGTGACCGCCGCCTCTCAACAACAACCGCTGGGACCACTGCAGGAGGCCTACATGGCTCGGGACAGGAGTTATCCACCACAACACGTAAGTTTCTCCTACCCGAAATTATTCCGGTCCTTCGTTAAAAACCCAAACTCTCTAAGCTATTCCAATATTTCTATTAGTTTATTGTTTTATCTTTTTCCCATTTTTCCGTTAGTTTACCATTTTAATTTTTATCTTTGAAACCTAAAATTGCTTGGGTTTTATGAGATACCATCCAATATTACTAAATTAAAGATCAGTATATACTATTACTACAGTGAAAGTCAAATAAAGTTGCGTTCACGTCATCATTGTGAACATTTGCAGCGTTGTCAGATGGTTCATGAAGTATGAAAATTAACAGTAAAGAACTGAAGTAAACAAAAAAGGTGAAGGTAGCAAGTTTAACACTATATTAAATGGAATTTAAAAGTGTTTTTTTTTTCATTTGTTTTCTGTTAATTATATTCATGAATAAATTTCACAAAGTAAGAAATTCCACAATAAAAGTGGTAAGGTTAAGACTGAGTTACCAAACAATAAATATAGGTAATTAAAATAAAACCACAATCAATAAAATTAAATATTTTTTAATAATGAACGTATTTTCAAAAACAAAACATGGCAATAAAAAAAAATAACATCAACGGACTAAACATTTTCTGAATCTTATTCCACATTAGTGTCACTCCCTCCACTATTAACATTTATTACTATTTGACTACTAATTTCTTGACGATCAAATATTCTTTCTGTGGCATATCATTTAAATATTTTTCTTCCAGTATGATTAATAGATTTTTTCACATATCAGGATTAATCATGTGAAGTGACTTAGGTCACATGTTAAGGCAGTTGTTAGGGTGTTACCATCTTTACCAATGTGCCTATTGTAAAGGCACATTGGTAAAGATGTGCCTTTACAATTGGTAAAGATGATGGAAAAATCATCTTTTGCTATGCCCCAAATTAATTCAATAAATTTAAAGATAGAATGGTAAGGAGGAAGACGTAAAACTTTGTGTCTATACCGTTCTGCCATATCGTCCACTATATACTTGGTTTGTGGTTTATTTCTAAAAAAATGTTTAAAATCAATAACATCTATTTGTAAGATTATATCTGTATCTTCTTCTTCTTAAGGTGCCGTGCATTTCTGCGTAGGCGTCCACCGTACATCGTCTTGTCAGGTGAGATGTTAAATATTCTGGATTAAATAATTCTGCTTTTAGCAGCATTGCGAAGCATTTCATAGTTGTGGATTCCTGTCCATTGTCGAATATTGCACAGCCATGACATTTTTTTACGTCCGAGACCTCTCCTACCCTCTATCTTCCCTTCGAGTATCAGTTGCTGAAAAGTGTATCGTTCTCCTCGTATTATGTGCCCCAAGTATGCAGTCTTCTTACTTTTTACATAATTAAAAAGTTCCCTATCCTGTAAGCCCGCTCTTCTGAGTACTTCCTCATTTCTGACCCTGTCTGTCCATGATATTCTGAGCATTCGACGCAGGCACCACATTTCAAACACTTCAAGTTTGTTAATGGAACTGGCCTTTAACGTCCATGCTTCCATTCCGTACAGGAGAACATGCCACACGTAACACTTAAGCATCTTGTATCGGAGGTTGAAGTCCAATTTGCGATCAGTCAGAAACTTACGAAGCCTCAAAAAAGCATTTCTGGCTTGTTCAACTCTGCTCTTTATTTCATTCTCGGGGTCCCAACCCTCATTCAGCAAACATCCCAAGTATTTGAATTGCCTGACTTGTTCGATTTCTTCTCCAGAGACATATATCTTTGCGTTGGGGTAATCATTTCTACTTATAATCATTGATTTTGTCTTCTTGATATTTATTTTTAAACCCCGAGCTTCACTTGCAAGAGTTATATCATCTAAAAGGCATTGAAGATCTTCGATGGTATCTGCCACTATGGCTGTATCATGGGCATACCTGATGTTATTAATACATATGCCGTTAACTTTAGTACCCTTATTAGAGTCTTCCACTGCTTCTGCGAAGGCTTTTTCTACGTATAAATTGAACAGCATTGGGGACAGTATACAACCTTGCCTTACTCCTTTTTTAATGGAGAAATCTTCTGTTTCGTTGGAATTTTGAAGAAGTACTGTTGCTGTCTGATTCCAATACAAATTGGCGATGATTCTTATATCATTTGCATCCAATCCCAACTCTTGTAGGTATTTTATCATCAATTCGTGTTTTACATTATCGAATGCTTTCTCGTAATCGATGAAACAGATAAAAACATCCTTTCTTTGATCTAAACAATTCTGTATCAATGTTTGCATACTAAAGATCGCTTCTCTCGTGCCAAGTCCATTTTTGAAACCAAACTGACTCCATCCACTGACCTCTTCACATTTCTTAAACAATCTAGTGTGAAGTATTATCAGGAAAAGTTTTAAAAAATGACTCATTAGGCTTATTATTCGGTGGTCCTTGCAGAAGTTCACACGTGCTGTTTTTGGTAGGGCGATAAATGTAGATCGAAGCCAATCTTTTGGAATCTGGCCCGTGTCGTAGATGTCGTTAAAGAGCTTGACAATAATGTCTAGGTTTTCTTCATTAAGTAACTTGATTGTTTCTGCGTACATATCATCTGGTCCTGGGTTTTGTTACTTTTTAGTAGTTTGATACCGTGTACAATTTCAGCTTTCAAAATACTTGGGCCATACAAATGGTCTCCCAGTTGTGGTGGTTTTTGTGTTCTGTCATCATTGAACAAATTGGCTGTGTACATTTTCCAAGTATTAAGTATATCGCTAGGGTCCGCTATTAATTCATTTTGGTCATTATGTATACCAGTGACTTGTTTTTTTCTTGAAGACACCAGCAATTTCCTTAATTTTCTTGTGAAGATTGAAGCTGTCGCCGAGTTTATATAGGCTTTCAGCCTCGGCGCAAAGTTTAGTCATCTAGATCTCCTTCGCCGCTATAATTTCTTTACGAATTTGACTGTGTATATTTCGGTACCCTTTCGGTACCCTACTTCGTCCTGCCTGATCTTACACTGCCTGCGTTGTTCCATCATCTCTAATATTTCTTCTGTCATCCACTCATTCTTGGTAGTTGTTTTACTCTCGAGTAGAGAAGTGTTGTTCAACTCATCAAATGATTCTTTTATGGTGGTCCATGACTTTTCAACATCATTCTCAGTTGCCATATTAGAGAACCTATTGTTTATTTCCTCGGTGTACGCTTCATATCTGTATATTTACTAAGAAATGATGCGCAACAATTCTGTTTTGAACACCATATGGGAATAGGGAATGTTTTATTTTGTAAACCACTCCTCAATAGCACTTTTTGACCATCCTGTATTCGGAGTTTTATGCAATAACATACTGTGATAAGGTGCATTATCAAGTACAATTAGAGAATGATTCTCTAAGTTTTGCAGCAACTAATATTTAAATCACTTCAAAAAATGTGCCTGGTTAATTTTCCCATGATAATCATTAGGTTGAGTTTTTGAACAAACCTCTATAAATTCGGTTTCATAAGATTTTTCGATATATTAAGAAAGCTCAGAAACCACTCATTCCAAGTTTCGACCAATGCTGCCATGTTAGCTATGTAAACAAATTATAATATTAAATTATATGAAAACTCGTTTTAACATAAATACATTCTGCATGGGTGTTCCCCAGATAGGTGTAGAGTTTTTCTTAAACTGTTCTGATTACTTGTTCTCTAAATTATATTTAGAAGGTATTGTAATATTCCAGATCGGCCTGTCTCTATTAATTTAAAATAGTATTAATTTAAAGAATAAAATTCTGGATTTTATAATATAAAACTATTCTGCTGTTTTAAAATAGTTATGAGGTCCTGTTGGTAAAGTAGTAATATAAATAGTCCAAAAAGACTGATAATTGAATCGATGATATATAAAAGGATAACATTCCATTTTTTGCCAAATTTATTTAAGATAGCAGCTTTGTTCACTTTACCAAGCTCTAATAACATTCCTGGAATGTTACTCCTTTTGACCTCAACTAAATTATTTTCATCATTGACATCTAAACGTTTTTTTGATAATATTCCAGTTTTATATACTCTTGATTCTTTTTTGTTTTCTATTTTCTACTCTTTTTTTACTTTTCGCTTGTCACTTGACCATATTAACTTATCTCCAAAAACATACTGTTACATTTTGTTTGTTATTATTCGGCTTACTGAGATAACATCAGCTTTTAAGGTTATGTTTTGTATTGTATGTTGTGTAAAGTGAGTTTAGTTTGTTCTTATAATTAGATATATTGACCACTAATTATAATTAATTAGTGGTATATGGTGCCTAATATCAATAACTCTAACAGTCAGTTTCCTGTGAAAAGAAGAGGTAGTGGGTGACAAATTTAAAATAAAGGAAAGCAAGAAGGAATGGATCAGAATTTTTCAATTCCCCCTTGGTTGAAGAAAGGAAGACTGGGTCTGATTGTTTAGGTAAGAAAAACTGCACAGATTTATTTTTCCCTAAAAGATAAAGCAGGTATTATTAAACTTATATATATATATATATATATATATATATATATATATATATATATATATATATATATATATTGGTCAACCTAAGAATGAGTCAGACACTTTTTTGATGGCCCTAATTAACAAATCCGATATGAATAGACATAGGCCTAAAAATGAAGACTCAAAGCAAATACTATCATCTTTTAAGTATTTTTGATTACAAAGCAACATAAAAGTATAAGTTAGCAGAAGTTTACATTCAATAAGTAATAAAGGATTACAACGTATCACTAAATTAAAAAATAAAGGCGAGCGACAGTGTTTCATGAAAATCACCTCAGAAAATCGAGTAATATTGTTTAAAAAATTTAAGATCATATTGAAGCATACCCAAAGAAAGCCTCTCATTATTCATCAAAGACAGTTTTATATTTAGATGCAACCTTAAACAAAAATATATGTGTTTTTAGACAAATATCCTGAAATTTCGTGAAATGATGTCAACTATGAGTTCTTTTTAAAATACCATAAGGAAAACTTTGATTTTAAATTCAACAAG